GAAAATACACATCCCTCATTTTAAGCATGAAAGAGGGAGGATTCAAATGCTGAATACAATTTTTGTTATTAAATTCAATGTTTGTTACTTTCAAGCTCAAAAATGGGGACACTTTGCAAATGGTTTGTGTGGAACACAGTGCAATTTCATTCTGTATCTTAATATATTATCAAAACACGATGACAGAACAAGTACATATCATTAGTTCATTCCGTATTTTAATTCTATGTGTAACTTACATGTGACTGTAAATGATAAAATATCTTACTTCCCCTAAAAACTGTCTGAATGACAAAGAGGACCATGATACTGATGTTAAGTACTTTCCTGCAAGGTATCATATCACTAGTGACCAGCATATACCATACTTACCTAAACAGAAGATGACTTAAAATTTAAATTAGCCTACACTAAGAAACAACAATACACAACAAATGTTGTCATATTATTTTACACAGAAATTACAAACAAATTACATTTATGATTAGAGCCACTAGCCTTTATCCAGTTCCACCAACCAATCCCACTCTCATTACCATTATTATCTTTTTTCTCGGCCTCATTGTTCTTCCCATCTGCTTGTTCACATTCACTGTCTTAAACACTCCCAACTTCATCACCCTGCCTGTGATATATATTCTGTAACACTGCTTCCAGTTCATAGTTCCAATTGTACTTCAGAAAATTTGTTACAGCTCATGGCTCATGACCTGGAAACATAATTCTCTCTCCCACTTGCTATACTTACAGCATGATATAGCAAATGTCAGCATCAGTTATATCTTAAAAACACCTAACCACAAAAAGATTACAGTACTGATGTATATTTTGTATTTGAATTCAACACAATTCTTTATATTTAATGCTGAAATGTACGAAAATCCTTACCTTCCATTGGATAAGTATGGTAATTAGGTAGACCAACTGTGACTTCCGTATTACAAGAAAACTAGATAAAGATATGCACACACTTAACACAATCACTGCCACTGTTTTTTTTTATTTTCCTTTTGTTCCAGGTCACTGCTTTAATCTTAACAATGTAACTGAGATCTGGTTTTATTAATCTGGAGGGTTTTTTGTTAGTAATCTCATTCCTTTATGGTTTATACATATTTCATCCGCTGTTATTTTTCAAGTTAAGCAAATCTGTTTCATTATTTGCAACTCACAAGCGTATGTTTCAAAGTACGTGATCTTTATATTATTATTGTATAATTTATTCCAGTCAATACTTTGGAATGTTATTTTCAGCAATTTACTTTTTTTCAGAATTTATAATTACAATAATTCTTCAGAGTATCAGCTTATAAGTTAAATATACCAGATTTCTGGATTCACTGATACCAAGTTATCCTCTGGCTACATAATACCACCATGACACTCTGAAAAAAATATCTAACTCAAAATTATTTTTTGGAAAAGAACAATGATTACTGATATGCCAAGCAGAAGTGTCTTTTTTTTAAAGAGAATCAAAAGAAAGGTAAAAGTGGGAAACAAGAACAAAGAAAGGTTTTGCAGGCCAGTGGCAGTGTCACAGAAATGCTGGTTCCAGTGCAGGAACATCAAAGGATGTCACACTTCTGCAGCAAGGATAAGTCATAGCAGGGAACATAGTCAACAAGATAACATGAACTAACTCCCACTGACTAATGAAACAGTTGAAGATTTCTGTCTTTTGGGTTGTTGCGCTGTGTAGTCTGGTCGATGTTAACTGACGTTTCAGAGATCATACTGCCTCCGTCATCAGGGCGATTCTTAGTATGAAGATTTCTGTCTTCTGGGTTGTTGCGCTGTGTAGTCTGGTCGATGTTAACTGACGTTTCAGAGATCATACTGCCTCCGTCATCAGGGCGATTCTTAGTATGAAGATTTCTGTCTTCTGGGTTGTTGCGCTGTGTAGTCTGGTCGATGTTAACTGACGTTTCAGAGATCATACTGCCTCCGTCATCAGGGCGATTCTTAGTATGAAGATTTCTGTCTTCTGGGTTGTTGCGCTGTGTAGTCTGGTCGATGTTAACTGACGTTTCAGAGATCATACTGCCTCCGTCATCAGGGCGATTCTTAGTATGAAGATTTCTGTCTTCTGGGTTGTTGCGCTGTGTAGTCTGGTCGATGTTA